GATATAGGCACTTAAATATCCACTCTCACCATTGCCCTTTCCATTATGTACCCCTTCTCTCTCATTCCAGGTTTCATGCTTGCTCTAGTTTTGAAGTTTGATATGCATGAAACCTTCTGCTCTCATAGGGATCCCATTTGCCATGAGCAAGGCTCCGTGTAGGGGCTGGCTTTAATGAGCAAGGGTTGTGGTGGGGAAGAAATGGAGGCTGAATCTATGATGATAAATTCTTGGGTGTTCTTCACTTGTTCCTCAACTGCTCTGAGATTTGACAGGAGAAGGAGAATATATAACCTTTTGAGTGAAAGAATGTGTTGAACTGTTAAAGTGAAAGATGTACACTTATGGCAGGTGGCAGGCTATTCTTAACATAGAAGAAGTTTCACATTTACAGGTCTGCTAATTGATTTTCATTTCTAAATAGATTTAGTACATTTAACAGCAGTGCACACCTTTTTTGTGGATGGATTTCAAGTCCAGAGATATTCCATGAAATAAATGTTCTTTTGTATAAATCTGAAGGTTGTTTTCTGTAGGTGTAGGCAAGATGTTCAAATACAGTGGGGTGCCAGTTTGGTAATTTTACTCAAAGTGCATGGTGAGAATAATCTCTTTCCTAAAATGAAGCACAAGGATAAGTAATAACTTTTTATGCATGATAAGCATCAAAAATATGAGCCTGCTGGTCTTTGCTTTTCATTTTTCTTTACCTTTGTCTTTCAGTCAGAGCCTCCTGCAGTGTGCACATGATGTGATCAATAACTCAATAACTTTTTTCATGCAGTAATTATCTCTATGTGGTATTATCTGAACACTGTTTTTCTTTATTACCCAAAAGATGCAGGAGATATTTATATAACCAGCTGATCCCATTTTGGATGAAGCTGCTTCATGACAGCAGGGGAAATAGTTTATTTTAAATAGCCTTTTTTAACAAATGCTGTATGGAAAGCTTTTGCTAGTTAATTCTTACTTCAGATGGAAAAAGTGTATTCTAAAATACTTCATTACACTTTGCTGTGTTTTAATTATACTGTATTTAAGGAAGATATCCTATGAAAACATTTTTGTAATATGCTGTTTGAATTAATTTACTAAGTACAAGTGTTAAGCCATTATATTTATTAAGTAGAAAGTAAGTTAGTGCTGTTAATGTGAAATGATCCAACTTGGATAAAATTAAGACAACTATGTTTTAAAGTTTATTTGAAGAAGTCTATGCAGCTATTTTAGAAAAGAACAAGCTTTATGTATTTTATAAAACCAGTGCTTTCAGTATTAAAAAGTTCATGTGTTTTACTGGTTTCTGTTTCACAGACTGAGATCCTGCAAGAATCTCGAATGATGATTCCAGACTGCCAACGCAGATTAGGAGCTGCACATGCAGATCTCACTCAGCTGTTAGTAAGTGTAGCACAAACTTTTTACCTGAAGATTTGTGTGCTTTCTGCTCTCTGGCTACGAAGACTAGAGCTGGATTCTTTCATCGGTGGACTAGGGCTAGCAATTTTAGCCTACAGAGTAGTAGTAGCTTAATGACACTTGCACTGGACAATTTTTCTATTTGAATCATGTGCGCTCCCATGATTAGCATTACGTAGCATAACAGTTGCTCATTCAAGCTGCTTATATACCTTAGTGCAGACAGGGTTTGTGTACATATTTAGCAGAAGTAAGTTTAGAAACTTGCTGCAATGAGGAACACACCCAACAGACACTGAAACTCCCTTCCAGTGCCTCAATATCTAATTGCTGTGTCAAGTAATATATTATAAACACCCAAAATAGCTCCTCTGTTTGAGTAAAATACCTAAACTTTAGGTGAATTAGATTTACAGGTAGGACATTTGCTTGTTTGAATGCTATTGATGATTTGTAATGGCCAAACAGTGATCAAAGCATTAGTCAGGCAACACGTGTTTTATGGAAGTTTTGCTAACAAAAGTAATTAGCTTGATTTCAGTAGTTCTACCTGCCTGCAAGAGGATTTATCCCCATGAATAGGAGTATACCAGGAATTTAGGCTGTCTGTACACATGCTTAGGGATGGGGTGAGGGGACATCTTAGAGTGGCTCCCAGATGGTCACTCTAATTAAAACACCTCACCGTGATGTGTATTATGCCTCTGCGTGTTTAAAATGGCTGTGGGATGCTGTATCTAAACCTCATTTGACGAGGCTTAAATAAAGTGCCCTGCAGCCACTTTTAAGCATGAGGGCGCTTAATACACACGACAATGCAGCGACACTGGAACGTTTGATTGGGAACATGGGAACGTTCTAATTAGAACACCAGTGAGCATGTGTATAGGCAGCCTTAGGGCCCAAACTTGCTTCCCTGAATTCTGAGGTCATAGGACTACATCTTAAAGAACTAACGTTTTTTCACCTCTTGTCTTGCTACAGATGTAAACATTAACATGAAGCTTAACCATACAGTGGAATTTAAGCACCTCCAGAGGCTTTTTATTGATTGCAGGAGAGATCAGTTAGAACTCCTCTGCTGAGCCTGTTCAGACACAAGCACTAGAGCCCCCAGTTCTGCAGAGTGCCCAGTACCTGCCATTTTTATTGACTTCAAGTATAAGAATGTTCTTGGCATTTTTTGAAGACAAGTACTTGGCAGAATCAGCCTCCTACACTTTGTCTTTCTGTGGTGATGTTTGATTGGTTTCATTGTTTGATAAAGGGGTGTGGAAGTTGAAATAAATTGGCCATTGTCACTTTAAGTTGGGAAGATTCACAGGCAGGCAGTCTGAAAGGAATGTGAAAATGTCATTTGGTTCCAAAGTCAGCAATATTGAAAAGGTCCTTAAAGATTAGTTTCCCCTTCCTGCTGTACCGTCATAACTCACATCAGTGTGAACTTTGAAGAATTTGCTTTTAAATGAATCTCAAAAAGGACTCTTCCCCCCCCCCCCCATAGTGTTCTTACTCTGGCTTCTATTGCTACTGTTGCCACTTTATGGGTGGTCCTCATTTTGGTTTGACTATTCCTATAGTTGAAATCCAGAAAACACATATAGGTCTGTCTAAATATGACAAGGGCATCACCAAAATGTTTTACTGAACTTAAAAAGGGCAATAGGGCCTAAGAATTGTGTTCTATTAAAAAAAAATGTAGTTAGTGTTTGCTTGCTGTCTGCATGTTTCACAGACTTCCCTGAATCTTTACATTTACACCAGATCCATGCAATGCTGGACAAAAATATGGAAAGAAGATTTTAAAAAAAATAGGACGGGGAACTGAAATGGCTTACTCAAAGATCTTTATCTGTCAGTGCAATGAACACTCCGTTTTTTGTATTGGAAGTTAGAAGTAATCTAAATGGGATGTTAACATATTAAGCGGAATGAAAACATGTCAAGTTATTTTCTTAGGAATAAAAAAGTTGTATGTTTAATTTCAGGAGAATGAAAAAGAGTTGGAAGAAGCTGAAGAATATAAAGAAGCACGTTCAGTACTGGAGTCAGTGAAGCTGGAAGCCTAGATGTGTTTTCAGTACTGTTTTTATGCATTAGCATTTGGGTCCATTCCACACTTTATTGTTTGACCATCACTGTCTTATTTCAAGTAGCATAACAATACAGTGACTTGCTGAGGTTCCTTTTATGCAGTTGCAAATGATTGGCTTTTCTCTAAACCTAAAGATGCATCAAGTAAAAAATTTTGTCTGGTAAATGTTTGTGTGTGGTTCTGTTCATAGGCAAATATTAACACTTGAAGCTGACTTTGAGTGTATCAAATAATAAAACACATCTGTGCATTTTAAGAAATCAATAAAGGACATTGTGTACCACATCATAAGGATAAACATTCTGATAAAAGGGTGGGCTGTATGCGATGAATAAGGTAACTCATTAACAAATGCTTGTTTATTTGTTTTTAAGAAAATTCTTTACATTGGAGAATATTTCTATTATCATGCTCTAATAGGAAACAGCTAAAACAGTTCTGTTTCTAACTTAAGAAAAGGCATAATATCCTGATTCTTTCTTTTGGGTATAATACTTACTAGAAATGGGCCTAAGACCATCGTGTCAGGATCTGATTCCAAAACTTCATCCAGCCTGTGGATATTCATATAAGTGAGCTCCAGAGCTACTGCTTGCTAAAATTGAGCTGCTGTGGCAGAAAGCACAGCGTGTTGGTAGCTGACCCATATGGCTTTTTTTTATCAACTAGATCTTATGGCAGAAGTTGTGAATCTCTTTCCTCAGGGTACAGCCACGCACCTTGGCCCATTTCTTGATAGACTTAAGTGACTTCCTGGATGGAGCCCAAGACAGATACTGTAGTGAGACACAACTACTAGAAAAGGAAATGAGCAGAACATTAATTTGCCTGGAAGAGCATCTAAGTGGATACAAAAAGCTCAGGACAACTCCTCTAAATAAGCCATGGACTTTGCCAGAAAGCCATAAAGCTTTTCATAGTAATTTTCCTAATTGGAAGATTTTGGCAGTGACTTTTAAGGGCAACAAAACAGCACACGTCATTTTGGTGCTATACAAATAAACTTATCATTAATGAGCCTGACTTTTTGAAGAGGACCTCAACATGACCTAACAATTTGCATCTGCAGCTGATGTGATTTAAGCATCTACTTGGTTTGTGAATGCAGTCAAAATTAGCATCTAACTGACAAAAATTACACTTGTGAAATTACAGGTTCAATACAAGAATCTCCATTTCCAAATTAGGGACTATTTGGCGCACCACTAGAGCAAGATTTTTAATTCCATTTCTGTAACACAGATACAATTTGTTATGCTATTTGCACTTCTGTACAATAATTGGCCACTCGCTAATGCATCCAAGTAAATTTTTGAGGTAGTCTACCTAGGGTTCAGTATCTCTGCCATGTTTTCTGTGTTAGTAGACTTGTGTATAAAAACGTGTGAAAATCTTGTCTGAACTTTACCTCTTCCTGCTGTTGCATCCTCACTTCATAAACATACCTGGCATATTGGTAATGTGATGTTTTCAGAAAGGAGTGCAATTGCCGACTGAAGGAGCATGAGTAGTAGGGGTGCGTGAAACAGGCCGTATTGGATTTGGATTTGACCTGAATCAGGGGACAGTGATTCGATTCATTGATTCAGATCACTGTCCCAATTTGATTTGGCCAAATCAGAATCTGAAGATGTAATACTGATTCGGAGAATCAGCAATTCAGCCATAGACACTGCTTTAAATGTTTTTTCTACGTACCTTGAGGTACCAGGCATGGCTCATAATCACTGCAATGGTGGGGCAGATGGAACATCCCACAGGAGCACGGGGCGATGGCCCCCGCGTGCTCAGCAGCAGACCTGGAAGTGAACCGGCAGTACTTCCGGTCCACTGCCAATCATGCAGGGGACACCTCTGTCTTGGCAATTGGCCACAGGGGGGACCCTGGGTGTCCCCCCAGACCCAGGAGGCACCAGTTGCCAGGGTGGGGGAGAGGGTCCCCCATGCACTCTGCGGCAGACCCATAAGTGGACTGGAAGTGCTTCTGGTCCACTTCCGGGTCTGCCGCCGAGCATGCTGGGGACCCCCCGTGCTCCTGTGGGACGCTTCATTCACACCAGCATTGCAGTGTTCACAAGCCACCTGGTACCTTGAGGTATGTGAAAAAAAAAAAACCAAACAAAAAACATTTAAAGCTGTGTCTATGTTCGAATCATCGAATCCCTGAATCGATTTGGAGGGTTCCAATTTGATTCAGAGAGATTAAAGGGTCTCCTGATTTGATTTAGATTTGGAGATTTGACCACTGAATTGGGCCAAATCTCTGCCACATCAAATCAGTGACTGAAGCTTTGCACAGCCCTAATGACCAGTAGTAACAAATTAGATTGACTTGGTACTGGCAATACTATTACCACTTGCAACATTGTGATGTCATCACAAATGCCAGTATGAGCGCATATTTTGGTGCAGCGTGTCCTCCCAACATCCAGGGTTCTTGCCACTGACAAAATCCCTAGGGGCTTCTGCTACAGTGTATTGTGAGATATCAGTGCTTCTTCACAATTGTTGAAGCCGCCGATTTCCATAACTAACTTATTAACTTCTGTATCTTGCCATCGGTAACATGGATGTAGAATATAACTGTGATGGCCTTGCAGCTGTTCTACAAACAGTGTGTAATATTTTTCTGTGGAACTTCAACTCTTACCACACCTGCTCTTACAGCAGTGAGAATGGCAAGATCAGTCATCCTGGGGTAAGGGAGGGGTGTCTCCAGGATATTCGCAACAGAGACCACTGGTTAAGAATCAAGTTGGATGAACGTTACTAAATACTGAGGTTTAGAAGACCAGAAAACAATAAGCAAGGACCCTAATCTTTTCTCATAGAGGTCTTCATAAAAATATCCGGGCCATTGGGCATGCTTCACAGCAGTTCAGCAGCCTCTAGCCTGTTGAGCATGTGGCAGTACTTTCCTAAGATTATAGCTGTGATGGGTGGACTGTCAGGTGTTTCTGGTGCTGAGTGCAGTAGATACTGCTAAATGTTTTACAAGTGGTGGTGATTCTGGATGATATCACCTATGAAAGTATTAACACTGGAAAAGACAGCTCGAGGTTATCTAGGCTAATATACAACACTGGCATACCCACTGAAGAGGGGGATGGAAAGGAACTTAAAGACCTAACAGGGCTCCGTGCCAAAATCAACTTAACACTCCACAGACAGAAAAGGTGGTTACCCTGGCCTAATTCTGTGAGCAGCTCAAAGTCAAATCCCTTAAGTAACAGCAACCAATCTCTACCTTGTCTCTTCCCCCAAATGCAAGCACAACACAGCACAAAAGGCATTTATTGGATTCCAACTGGAAAACTAATACCACATTGGTTTTGAAGTCACTTAGTTTGCTCACTTTTGCATTTTTTCATATTAATGGCTTGTTAGTGATTACAAGAATTAAGGCAATCAGGACTTGTACTAGAGATGATGACTTTTATTAGACCAACAAAATTATTTTTCAAAAATCTTAATTTCAAGCTTTCAGGCACAAACACCCTTCATCAGGCATTAGAGAAAAGATTGTAAAAGTTCTGAGTAGAAATGAAATTTCATATTTCATAGGATTCACAGAGGAGTTGATAGATGGAAACCTCCTCTCTCTGGGCAGTCAGTTCCTAGCTGGTATGAAGCCTCTCAGCTCCTGTGAGGATCTGTGATGATGCAGATTACCTTGAAACAAAGGCAGAAGCAGGATCTCAGGTTTCAGGTGGTCACAGTTGCTTCCTGCTTGGGCAAATATGAAGATTTTTTTTTATTTTAAATTACAAGAATTAAGGTTTCCACGTACCATTACCTGAATATATAGGAACCCATTTCACTGTCTCATGAATGATTTTATGCCACAAGTAACTACCTGCCTGCCCTAAGAAAAGCGTATAGTAAAACATTTGAGTCACTTACAGCAGTGATTCCTAAACTTCCCAGAATGATTAAAGTAAGACACAGGAGAATGTACTAACATAACACAAAATTTCTTGGCACAACAGTAATAGTATAGACCAGGCCTGTTCTATGCAGAGAATCTGTAGTGAAATTCTGACAATAAGGCTGTAGCAGTAATATAACACTACCATTACTGTCCTTGAATATCTGCCCAAGCCATCCACATTTTTTGAGGATTGAATCAGTTTTTTCTAATTCACGTTACCTACTATATCTAGAGGCTTTGTAACTTGGCTGTAACTATTTGTTTCCGTCTGTGCACAACATAGCCACTAGGGCTGTGCAAAGCTTCAGTCGCTGATTTGATTCGGCAGAGATTTGGCCCGATTCAGTGGCTGAATCTCCAAATTGAATCAGAGGACCATCTAATCTCTCTGAATCTATTCGGAAAGATTCAGAGAGAGACATTGCTTTAAATGTTTTTTTTACATACCTCACGGGCAGATGGAACGTCTCATGGGAGCACAGGAGGCTCCCCAGCAAGCTCGGCAGCACACCCAGAAGTGGACCAGAAGTACTTCCGCTCCACTTCCGGGTCCACTGGGGAGCGTGCAGGCCCACCCTGCCACCCCCACCC